GTGTGTGTGTGTGTGTGTGTGTGTGTGTGTGTGAGAGAGAGAGAGAGAGAGAGAGAGAGAGAGAGAGAGAGAGAGAGAGAGAGAGAGAGAGAACAGTTACCTGTGGATTTGGAGGCCATATTAGGACCTTCCTCTATCACTTTCCACTTTAGTTTCTGGGACAAATTCTATCCCTGAAGTGGAGCTCCCCATTTCAGTTGGCCAGTGAGCTTCCCGATGCCCACTTCCAGAGGCTGTCTGTCTTCAGTGATGTGATTCGTTTTACCCAGCTCTGCCCCGCTTTTCCTGATGCTGGGCATCAGAAGGCTAGTACAGCAAGTACAATACCCATTGAACTTTCCCCCACCACCCCAGTCTAGAACTGATATATATATATATATATAAATAACTAGGAAGAACTAGAAATAGAACTAGGAAGGGAGAAAAAAGTGGGGGGAGTACATTTGATAGTTACACCTAAATTGGTTCTTACATACTGAATTTATATTAGTTTTCAGTGGGATCTGTTTATGAACAGTGCCATGCAGTCATTTAGAAGGCTAAATCATGGTTTTGGTAAGGTCCTCCATAACCAAGGCCTTGCATTTGTACTGTGTACGGGTGCTCTTATAGCCCATCAGTTTTCAACACTTTATTGTGTTCCACGTAACCACCACAGAACAGGTTAACCTGACTGGAAAGTAAACTTTGCCATGTTTCCTGGGCTGAGAGCTCCTCAGCAAAGGCTCAGAGACATTTTTCTTTTCATGTTTTAAGTCAAAAACTGGGGTTAGTTAGGAGCTCTGGAGTTGCTACAGAAGTTGAAGATGTGATTTTCAAAAGTCTAGGGCTCTAACCTCATGTTTTCTAAATGTTAACCTGCATAATTATCTACTAATGCACTACATGATGTGCAAATAAACTCCTGGCTTCAGTTTGATGATTCTGACTGGGGGCAGAGGGGAGTGCAGCACAGGCACTGCCAGTTTTTAACCAGCAGGCAGCCACTTTGGGCTTGTGGGAATCTGTAAAGTTGAAGGTAAAATGCAGAGGCAGTGGGGTATTGATATTATGAGACAGAAATATGGAAAATTCTGTTTTCAGCTGATACCATGGTGGTGCCAGATCTCTGCATTTGGTAGCTGTATAGATGAAACTTGGGTACTGTGATCAGAGAGCACCACCACTTGGCAGTGATCCTGGGGCTGGATTTGGGCAGAGGGAGCAAGAAATAGGTAGTAAAAGAGCCACATTTCTCTGGATTGACTAAGGACTTCTAGGGTGACAGTCTCATAGACAACCATATACTGACAACCGATTGTATAAACACCAGGACTCAAAGGAAGCAGAATTGTACACTGAAAATGATGGAGATGGTATTTCTTGCTCCTTTAAACCCATTCTGGTGTGATGGTCACACTGGAAGTAAGAAAAATAAAGCAGCTAAAAAACACTAATTGTGGAACAGCAAAATCCTACTGAAAATACTTGCCATGGGGTGTCCTGCCTGTGTTACCTTATAATTGTTATGTGCTTCCCTTTGTGTTAAAGCAAATCAGAAGAAAATGGAGATGGCTTGGAGACTTCAAGAAATCCATGAATGAAGATCAGAGCACTGGGGTGACCTCTGCCATAAACTCACAGAATTAGTGTAGACAGGAGGAATCTTAATAAATATGTGCTCAAACAGCAGCTAGGCTGTATAGCACTGAAAACCCCTGAGGTCAAAGGTATGCAATTGACTGTGTTAAGAGGGCCCTCCAGGGAACGGGAACAAGGTCAGTCAGAGCCAGCTGTCTGGCTTTCCTACCCAGCCAAAAGAACTCTGAGCTACTCTCAAACATATGTCTAAACCCCAGAATAAATTTTCTTCGGGATTTGACACTATTTCTAGGAGTCTAGCCTGATAATATTTAGCAGAGATCCTAATCTACCATGCCCTTTGATATACATCTTGTGGAGAACCAGGTTTTAGGGCAGCCCTGTAGTCACTAAGGCTTTATTGAAACACTGTGACACTGTGTGCATCTGATTTCTGTAAGGTGACTCTACAGCACCCAGAAATCCATGCCATCCCATATACTGTAATAGATGTCCATTTGTCAAAATGTTTCTACTGTTCTGGTGTTTTATTACTTATCTCTTAAAATAAGATGTGCTCTGTCTTAGTTTTGTGACTTATTTTTTCTGAACAAAGTTTATGAGGGGATGGAGTATTTATGAAAATGACCTTTAAAATAAAAGTTGATCTGAAGCTAAAATATACTAAAAGATTTTACATATATATGTATATATGAATGTATATATCTCAAACTGGTTCTACCATTTGACCTGGTCATTGTGACAAATTTCCCTTACCAAATTGAGAAATATCTAACTTTGGGAGGTCTGTTTGCTTATGACACTGTCCTGCAAAGGAACATCGGGGCCACTCATGGCTTGGGGACAAAGGGTCAGTCATCTACTGGAAGCTTGCTGGAACTTTGCCAGTCACATATTCAGCCACAGGAATCTATTATACTTGGTCTTTGAACCAAATTATCCACATTTATTTTCAGTCCTTCCTTTTGGCAACTGTAATTCTTTCTACTCAGTACAGAAAATGGGTGTTCTTCCCAGCAGTCACAATTCCTATTTTAGGCCCCATTTTTATTTTTATTTTATTTTTTTCCATTTTTATTTTTAAAGAAAAGAAAAAGCCTATTCCTATCATTTCTGGTAAATTCAGAATCAGAACTGAGTTTTTAGTGGTAGATAATTTGTCATTAATGCTACTATAATTATTTAATAATACTGTTCCACTGGTAAGTTCAGAATTCTCTGAAGTGGTTTTGGTCTATTCTTAGCTTGGGTACTAAAGTTTCTAGATTACAGAAGAATTTTGACTTCACTTGTTGAGGCACTTCTTTAGATTTTCATTACTGCATAACAAATCATCACATAGCAGCATGAAGTAATACCTGCTTATAACTCTCAGTTGGATGAGTCATAAGCCAGACACCTCATGACTGTGTTTCCTGCCCTGGGCACCACAGCACTGAAATCAAGTGGATGCACTCCCCTGAAGACTTGTGGAAAAATCCACTTCATGAATCAGTCAGATTGTAGGCACAATTCAGTGTCTTTAGTCTGTAGGATTCAAATTACTGTTTGCTTGTGGCTGATGTCTGGGGCCCTCTCTCAGGTCTTTAAGGCTGCCCATATGTTTATCAAGTAATCTTTCCAACTTCCAATCAGCAACACTACACAGAATTTCCCTTAAGCTGCAGAGGCAGCTTCCAATGTTCTCTCCAGCCATGGGAGGACTCTTTGTTCCTCCAACCCCACACCAGCTAGTCTTCTCCAACCCCACCCAGGCTAGCTATGTTGGTGACTAAAACACTGTTTTTGTACATGATGTCTCATCCTACCCACAGATTCTAGAGACTAGGACAGGAAATCTTTTGCAGGACATTTCAGAAATATTGCCTTTAACATACAGAAATCACAGAAAAATGGTCTAGTTACAGGCAGCTCACGCCCCCCTCGCCCCCTCCCACACACCAGGGGTATATAGCACAAGTCTTAGTGAATTATAAATCAAAAATAGCTAAGTTTTGCAAGTATAGCAGGAATACAATGCTAATCAACCTTCTTAGTCAGGAGAAATGGTAATGGTTATAGCAAAGTGTGGAAAGCATGAAATGTTAAGGTTAAGTACATCCAGAGAGGCTGTCCTGTATGAGGTATTGTCCCTTACAAACCACTGTATGTTATTTTTATTTAGCAGCCTCAGAGAGTGGGACATTATAAGTGGATTTACCCAATAATGTTAGCCAAATGTTGTACCTCTTTGGAAAATTTAAAAAGAAAAATTTGAGGCAGAGTCTCACATACCTCAGGTTAGACTCAAACTCACTGAATGAGCTTGATGACGTGACTACTCCTAGGTAGTGGTGAGAAGAGTCTTAGTGTAGATATGAGGGAGAGTACAGTCAGAGGCATCTGAAAGAGTCCAGACTGAACCTGGCCATGGGGGAGGGAAGGCGACAGAGGAAGAGAGCTAAGAGGGCAAAGAGTCCAAGAGTGAGCCAAGAGAACCAACAGACATAGCTGAAAGGGCAGGCTTTTATATGAAATAGAAGTTAGGGGAAGGGAAGTGAAGTCTCTGGGCTGGAGAAGTTTAGGGTAGGAGGCAGAGATGAGAAGAACAGAGAGAAACCATGGTACTGAGAGAGCCTGTAAGCCAGCTGTGTGCTTTGGTATGCTAATAGGCAGCAGAGTTAGCCATTTGTCCTGGGTTTTTGTGATTTTTTTTAGGACCTAACACTCACCATGTAGTCCTTTAATATTTTTAAATTATTTTTTTGAGGGAGTGTTACAATAATTAATTGGGAAGCCATTCAGTTAAGCCAGGCCTAGCAATGTGGGTGCCTATATAAGCCAACCAAAAAAATAATTTAATGTAAAAGGAGTATCCAAGCTCTTAACATTACAATATGACATTGCCATCTACAAATGTGTTGGACCACTTTCATAGCTGTTCTATGAAGGTGTATGTGGCCTGTAGAGTGCAAGTTGAACATACCCAACAGTAAATCATGGACTTAACCAATCAAAAACTGCTAAGTAATATCTATTAGAAATTTTCCACTTTAATCAAATGTATTCTCTTAACATTGCTTCTGAAAACATAAAAGTCTTTGGTAAACAGTGAACTGCTTAGGTGTGAAGTACCTCAATCCATGATTGACAGAATGGTCAGGTAAACTTGTTATAATGTAAACGTGTGTTTTTTGTTTGTTTGCTTATTTTGTTCTTGTTTTTTGAGACAGGGTCTCTCTTTGTAGAACAATGGTAAATAGAAAGCTGAATGATTATAAACAGGGACATGGGTTAATGGACTATTGAGTAGAACAGTATTTTTCTTTGTTTAATTAATTAATTTGTGTGTGTGTGTGTGTGTGTGTGTGTGTGTGTGTGTGTGTGTGTGTGTTTTGCTGATAAATGGACCCATGACTTTGAACCCATACTTGCTAGGTAAGTACTCTACCACTGAGTTATACTCACAGTCCAGTTCTTTTGTGTGTTTGACCCCTTTCCTTGGAAATAAACACTAGATAATTTACATTGTACTTAATCAGGAAAACAATGAACCACACAAAACTAGGCTGCTAGTGAAACTGGAAAAATCTGTCCGACTCTTGAGAATACTATCTCAAAACCAGGTTTAAAAAGACGTAAGTTCTATTTATTGTCTTTTTAGCCAGTTATTGACTTAGAACTTTTTCTTACTAAACATTACTAGGTTAATAAAATAACAATTTGATATTATCATTAGCAATGCATTTTTTCTTACCATGAAAAATTCAACCATACATAAAATTAAATAATAATCTTAATTGCTGCTGTTCATTTGAGCTCTCTTGCCATTCTAATGGCAAAAAAATATATATTTGTTTGAATCCCAAGTTTCCATTTGGTGGTAAATGTTTAGATAATATTAAAAGTGGTGGTGTTAAACTTCAAAGAGACTCTACTATTCTTCTGTATAGAGAAAAGTGCTTGATATAAAGTAACTGAAACATGAAGAATTTTAAGCTACATGGCATTTTATCAGGACCTCACAATAAGAAAATAACATTTCTTGCACATGTTATGTGTGGAGCTGTGCTAAGTGCTTTGCAGACACTTTAAAAATAAGTAAAGATAAGGACTGTGAGAAACTGTGAGAGAGATTAGTATCATTCATTCACTGTCCTGAATCACCGAACAAGAATTAAGCAGCATCATATTTCTTTAAGTTGTATTTCATTTTTATGTTTGATATTTTGAAGGATTAAAAATACTGTACTTTCACCATTAGGGACATTCTATTAGGGACATTTTTTAAAGTAAAGAACTTCTGCATCCAGAAGAAGAGCACATTTGGAATATAGATAAAGGAGTGAATAACCGCAGGTAGCAGTGAAAAAACAGCACAGCTCCCTTGGAGTAACAGGAAAGGAGCAGGACAGCTGCATAGGAACAAATTTTGGGAATATAAAGGAAACCAGTAAAAGTATTGGTTTTCAAGTTAACATTTTGCATTTTCTATGTTTAACAAATTAAAGAAATACTTTTCTTGTTGGCTTAATTTTTTAAGTTACAAATTTGGCCCATAAACAACAAAGACTATTGACTTACGTGTCAACTGAAATAAGTTTCTTTTCTCCATTTTCAGAGGCATAGTTCCAAACTGCTTCAATAATTCCAATGTAATAATGTCTATCTCTTGTCCAGGCTATAGGAGTATACAAAAACAGAAAAGTACCAAGCAGCAAAAGGTTCATTTTTTCGCCTGTCTTGGAGACTGAAATGCAATACAGAGAAAACAGAAGCAAGCAATTTTATAAATAAGGCTTTCCTTCTTTACTTGCTTGATTGACACAACTTAATGTTGCACAAGAGTAAATAATTTCATTAAAGCAAATAACATTTTTCCAACTCAATTTGGCTCTGGTAAACCAGGAAGGGGGGAAAAACAGTTCTCAGTTGCCAGGCTTCTCTAAATACAAATGAAATGTCAACAGTTAGTGTTGGACTCACCGAGTGTTCATAACTCTGAGCTTTCTTCCATTCATTATGTGAATTCCAGGAAGGCCGAGAACATCTCTTAATGCTTCCTTTGTTCTTCTAGCAATTCCAGGCACTACAGCATCCTGCCCAAAGCCAGTTCTTAACAAGTCAAGATAAAATGAATCAAAACATGCTGTTAACTGTTAACTATTCTAGAAGACTAACAAAAACTTACTTGTAGTTTTAAAGATATGAAACATGATATTTAGCACGTCATAAAAGAAGCCAATGAGAATTTCATTTTGAAATTTTACCTACTCTGTGAGATCTGGTCACTTCTATGTAGAAACTTAAGCAAATTGTCCTGGATTTCCATGTAGAAATTAATAGCAGAACATACCATATATGTGTGTATGTGTGTGTGTGTGTGTGTGTGTGTGTGTGTGTGTGTGT